TCTTCTTTATCCATTCATCTACTGATGGACACTTAGGTTGCTTCCATATCTTGGCTATTGTAAATAATGCTGCAATAAACATAGGGGTGCATATGTCTTTTTGAATCTGAGAGCTTGTTTTCTTAGGGTAAATTCCTAGGATTGGAATTTCTGGGTCAAACGGTGTTTCTATTTTTAGTTTTTTGAGGAACCTCCATACTGCTTTCCACAATGGTTGAACTAGCTTACATCCCCACCAGCAGTGTAGGAGGGTTCCCCTTTCTCCACATCCTCGTCAGCATTTGTTGTTCCAAGTCTTTTCAATGTTGTCCATCCTAACTGGTGTGAGGTGATACCTCATTGTGGTTTTAATTCACATTTCCCTGATAATTAGTGGTGTGGAGCATCTTTTCATGTGCCTATTGTATGACTTGATTTTTTACAAAGAAATATTTGTATAGGAATACATTTGAAGACAGACATACACACAGTGATGCACACATTTGGAGATACAATTCTAAAATGGTAATACTATACTGCAAACTATTTTTCTGACTAGAATTATCAGAGACTATTTGCTTTCTATTTTACAAATGTATATACTGTAGTATGCCTTTAATTTCGAAAACCTCAAATTGACATATTGTATATTTTTGAAATACAATACACTGATGCTTTTATTAACCCTCAGTGTAAAAATCTTGCAGATTTAAAAGGGATTACACTTATCTCAAGAAATGCAGATTCCCCATTTACAGGAGTCCCAACAGAAAGATGGAATTTCTTGAAGTCCAGAAGGATGTAGTTTGGAGAGTTTCCAAGGTGATGAACACATGGAAATGCTTGGAGAATGGCACACTCAGAAAGAACATGGAGCTCTGTGCATCTCTTCCATCTTGATGTTCCTGAGTTTTATCCTTTTATAATAAACTGGTATCACAGTAAGTAAAATGTTTCTCTTAATTCTGTGACTTCTTCTATCAAATTAATCCAGCTCAAGGAGGGGGTCATGGGAACATTTTATTCATAGCCTGTTGATCAGAAGTGCAGGTAACAGTTTGAACTTGTAATTAGAATCTAAAGCAGGGAGCAGTGTTATGGGACTGAGCCCGTAACCCGAGGTGTCTGACATACAGTGTCAGACTTGCGTTAAATTGTAGGACACCCCACCGGTGACACAAAAGGCTGCGTGTGTATGTGTGTGAAACCTGACCCTGTTGGAATTGGGTGCAGGATCATACTACTACATTCTATGTTACTATATAATTTAGTGATTTTCTTTCCTATTACCGGCCTGCTTTATGAGTCTTTGTCTCTCCAGTTTCATAATGCTTCATTCCACCTACAAAAGGCCATGCAACTGAGTAGTTACTCAATGAACATTTGTAGAATTGTGAATAAACATGACACCTCAGCTGCTTCTTCACTTTAATTAATCTGGCTACTATAAATGTCCATTTCCACTCTGCCCTCAAGGTGGTATTGCTTAATTTTTGCAACAATAAAAGCCCTGCTAAAAGTTCTCTAAGATATTAATGTTTTTTCAGTGTACCCTGAAAGCTCCCAGAGCTATTTCTGACACTCTCCTTGAACAACATAAACATTACTACTAATTGAATGAGGTAAAACCAATTGTCCATGCAGAGCTGTACCTGCTATTAACACTTAAACCTATCAGTTATCTTACCAGCAAAAAAGGCTTTCTTGGGAGAATAGCAGGGAATTGGAATTCAGGGCTTGAAAGCTACAGCAAAACCATAGACAAACAACAGAACAATGGAGAGTAGTGCAACGGAGGGGCTGTCATCAACAGTCCATTAGAGTAAACTGGGAATTTTAAGTATAGTGACATCACATTGGCTGAGTTATGACAATCTCATTTGCTGGGCTGTTGCTGGGGTAGGAGGAAATTCTGCTTTCAGCCTACTGGGTAGTAAAGAAGTACCTAAAGCAGTATGGACTCACAAAAACCCTATTCTTACCAGTGGGATCTGCAATTGACTAGGAGTGGTAGGCGTAACTGCATGTCAGATAGGTTTCACCTTGTAAGTTTTTTTAAATGAAATCAGTGGAAAATGATAATCACTTAATGGCAAAGACATGAGATCATAGTGTTGAGATGACCCTTTTATCATGAGTTACAGGCATTCCAATTACGCACACCCTAAGACTGTGAAAGCTGGAGCCACTGACCCAAACCAAAGCCGCATTAGTTAAGTTGGTCTCCATTTCAGACAGATGTCAGATTACTAAATGGTGTTGGCTATATTGTACGATGTGGACTAAGAAATATTAAATGGATAAAATTGTTCCTCAAAGGGAAGGAACAATTACAGACTATACAGGCAAGGAAGAAGCTATCTGTGGGAAACGGAAAAATCCTTATGGTCTACCTGCTTCGGGGCAGCCTAATATCCCTTTTCTTTTCTCCCAGGCATGGTCCTGTAAGGCGTCTTTTCTATTGTTTCAAGCAAATAATAGCGTTTACAAAACGAACAGAGCAAGCTAAATAAATGCCTTTGAAGATCAATAAAATATGTGTGCACCTATGTGTGTATTATTTATGTACGAATGACTATAGAATGATATGTCAGTTTAGAACACTAGATTTGAAAGTGCCTTAAATTACAATTTGATCGTCTATCTCGGTGTTGACTGAGATTACTGGAGTATGAAATCACGTCACCTCGCCGCAGCTCACAAAGCGCAAAGCCCCTCCCTCCCTCTAGGTGGCGCCACCACTTCGGCACATTTCCGGTGTCCCGCCGCCAATGCCCGGTCAGTCAGGACGAGAACCTGTCCCTGGGAACTCCGGAGCTCTGCGAACTACAGGACCCAGTGGACGAAGCGACCAGTCGAGCCAATGAGAGATCACGATACAATCACTGCCATTTGAATTCTCCGTGTTGGGGTGGGACTTCCGGCCCCCTCTCCTGGCGGCCATCTTGGCAGTCCTTCTGGGGCTTCTGGCTCCAGAATTCTTGGGGACCGAGGTGGAGGAATTGAGCAGCGCAGGGGGAGGCGCCGTCCCCGTCGCAGAGGCGGCTCTGAGGCCCGGCGACGCTGCCCGCGAGCCCTGCGCCGGGGCCGGGATCGGGACCGCCGCGCCCGGGTCGCCTCCTCTGCCCCGCGCCCGGCTCCGCTGCGCCCATAGAGTCCGATGGCGGCGGCCGCGCTGAGCGGCCCGGCCCAGGTACCTGCCCGTCCCCGGGCATCCCGCCCCCACCCACCCACCCTCGGGCCCCGAGTGCGGGACCTACTCACGGCCCGACGGCCAGGCCCCGGCCCGGGACGGAGAGGCGCTCGTGGGCGGGGCTCGTGTCCTGAGCGCCGGCGTGACGGCGCGTGGGGCCGGTTACGGGCGGGGGGACCCGCGCGCGCGGAGGCCGGAGGTGCGGCCGAGCCGGGAGGACTCGGGCATCCGAGGAAACTGGGTCGGCCTTCCGCCCGCAGGGAACTGTGAGGCGGAGATAAGCCTGGAAGAACCGTCTCTGTGTCTGCTCGGCCTGACGTTGACAAGGGCTGAACACAGTGAAGAAAGAGACCCAGGTTAGGGCGGGTGGGGATCTGTCACCCCTGGGCCTGGAATCCCTCTGAGGCGGGGAGCTCTGAAGGAGGAGTGTGGGGCAGGTGTGTGGCGAGATGCATTGTGGGACATCAGAGAACGTTCGTGGTTTCATCTGTCCGCATCCTAATAGGGCAGTGTGACCTTTGATGACGTGGCCGTGTACTTCTCCTGGGAGGAATGGAGGCTCCTTGATGGCGCCCAGAGACACCTGTACCACCATGTGATGCTGGAGAACTTTGGACTTATATCCTCACTGGGTAAGACTCAGCCTCACCAGTGACCTGAACTAGGCTCTACCATGACCCCCTTCAAGCCTTGTCACCTGTGGACCACATGCACTGCTTCCCCAGTTTTGTGACTGGTTGCTGTGTTGCTAGGGCTGGCTTGTTTGCCCGTCCCTCTCCTCTCCCCTGCAGCCCCAATGCCTGCAGTACTGAACCCTGTTAGGAAAGGGTGGAGGAGCATTCGTGTTGCAGAGAGCTCTGGATTCCACCGCGCTTGCTCTCGGTCTGGGTCCGTGTGTTCAGATCCGTATCATTTCTGTATCCCAAATTAGCTGACATTTCTTCATGCCAGGGCCCTTCCTGCAGGCATTGTGGCCACTACTTACCTGAACCATGGGCTGCCTTTCTGTGTCCTCCTAGGCAGTTTGGAGTGTTGAGCTCTGTTTTCTTTTGTGCTTTTATTCCCAGCCTTGGGAAGATAAAAGATTGTACATAATTGCATTTTGCAAAGTGATGATTTTATGTGTACACACACACACACACACATATACATTGTGAAAGGAATGCACGTGAAGTTAATTACACATCCGTCATTTTATGAACTTACCTTCTCATTATTACTACTTTTTGGTAGAAATGCCTAAGATCTTTTAGTAAATTTCAGTAATATAATATTACTAACTGCACTTAATATGCTATACATTATGTCCTCGGAACTTGATCATCTTATGTTTGCACTTTTTGACCAATTTTCCCCATTTCCCCCACACCCCAGCCCCTGGTATTCTCCAGGCATCTCTCAGAGATACAGTGGGTTCTATTCCAGACCACTGCCATAAAGTGAATATCACAATAAAGTCAGTGAAATTAATTTTTTATTCCCCAGTGCATGTAAAAGTTCTGTTTGTGCTGTACTCTAGTTTATTAAGTGTGCTATCACATTATGTCTAAAATAACAGTTTAAATCTTAATATTGGTAGACAATGCTAATCTGAGCTTTAAGCGAATCATAATCTTTCTACTGGGGATAAGTCTTGCCTGGATGTTGATGGCTGCTGACTGGTCAGGATAGTGGTTGCCTGAAGGTTGGGCTGGTTGTGGCACATTTTAAAAATAAGACAACAGTGAAGTTTGCCAGTTTGACTTTACTTTTCCTGAAATAATTTTCTCTAGCATGCAATGCTATTTGATAACATTTTTGTGCAGTTGAACTTCTTTCACAATTGGAGTCAGTCCACTCAAACCCTGCCACTGCTTTGTCAAATAAGCTTATCTAGCTTTCTGAATCCTTTGTTGTCATTTTAGCAATCTTGACAGCATATCCACCAGTAGATTTTATCCCAAGAAACCACCTTCTTTGCTCACCCATAAGAAACAGCTGCTCCTCTGTTGAAGGTTCTTAAGAAATTGCAGCAGTTCAGTTACATCCTCAGCTCCATTTCTAATTTTATTTCTCTTGCCTTTCCACCACATCTGCAGTTACTTCCTCCACTGAAGTCTTGAATCCCTTACTTAATGTGTGATCTATGAGGGTTGGAATCAACTTCTTCCAAACTGCTGTTCATGTTAATATTTTGACTTCTTCCCATGAATCATAGAAGTTCTTCATGGCATCCAGATTGCCATTCCAGAATCCTTTCCAGAAGGATTCCGATTCACTTTGTTCTGATCCCTCAGAGGAACCATCTGTGGCAGTGACCTTGAGAAATGGATCTCTTAAAGAATAACACTTGAGGGTCGAAGTGACTCCTTGACCCATGGGGCTGCAGAATGTGTGTGGCATGCAAACGTTAATCTCATTGTAAATCTGCATCAGTGCTCTTAGGTGACTGGGTGCATTGTCAATGAGCAGTCATATTTTTGAAAGAAAACTTTTTTCTGAACAGCAGTTCTAAGAAGGGCTTAAAATACTCATGGAAATCTTGTTCACATTTGTACATGTCTTCCTCACTAAGCTTAATCATTTCTAGCTTTTTATTTAAAGTGAAGGACATGCAGCTCTTCTTTTCACTTGCACACCTAGAGCCATGGGAGGGTTATTAATTGGGTTTATTTCACTACTGTGTCTCTGGCAGTTGGGAGCCCCCATTAGAGAGATGGGTATCAGGGAACAGCCAGTTGGTGGAGCAGTCAGAACACACATTTATTACGTTTTCCATCATAGGTGGGTGGGTAAGGTCATGATTACTCAAAATCCCAGTGGTATCCTCAGAGCTCACTGATAGTGGATCACCATAACAAATACAATAATAAAAAATTTTGAAATACTTTGACAATTACCAAATTGTGACACTGAGGCATGAGGTGAGTAAATGATGTTGACAATATGTTGCCAATAGATTTGGCTCTACACAGTGTTGCTAGTCACATTCAACATAAAAAAAACATGGTATCTTTAAAGCACGATAGAGTGAAATGCAATATAAAACAAGATATGCCTGTACTGTGTATTGCTGATTTCAGGTTTTTTATTTACATTCCAACCACAGTGTACAAAGATTCTCTTATCTCTGTACCTTCACCACTTGTTATTTCTGCAGTGTTTATCTTGGTAGCCATGTTAGATTTGAGGTATTACCTAATTGTGATATTGATTTACATTTTCCTGATAATTAGGAACATCATACTTCATTTGTAGGTCTTTAATAAAATTTCAATTTAAGTCCTTTGTGTGTTATTCAATTAGGTTATTTTTTTGGATTGTGTTATGTGAGAACTTTAGATATTAACCCCTTAGATACATCATTTGGGAACATTTTCTCCCTTTTCATCTTGTTTGCTTTATTTGCTATATGCAGAAGCTTTTTAGTTTGATATGGCCTAACTCAATTTATTTTTGCCATTTGTGCCATAATTAGACTTTGGTGTCATATCTAAAAAAGTCATTGTTAAGAGCAATGTCAAGGAGCTTTTTTCAAGGAGTTTCACGTTTTCACGTAAGATTCGAACTCATTTCATAAGTTATTTTTTGTAAATAGCGTGAGCTCCAGTTTCATTGTGTTGCATGTGCGTATCCTGTTCCCCAGCACTATTTCTTAAATAGACTATTCATGGCACTCCTGTCCAGGAGAAGACCATATATGTGTGGGTTTTATTTCTTGGCACTTCTGTTTTAAAGGTGTGCATGTCAGTTTTCCAGTATCATACTGTTTGGATCACTGTTTTGTTTTATTTTATTGAAGTATTATTAACATACGATCTTCTGTTGGTTTCAAATATACAACAGAGTGATTCAGAGAGAGAAATAAGATCACCTGCAAAGGAAAACTCATCAGGCTACCATCAGACTTCTCAGCAGAAACCTTATAGGCCAGAAGTGAGTGGCATGATGTATATAATGCAATGAAGGAGAAGGTCCTGGAACCAAGAATACTCTATCTGGGAAATTATCATTTCAGTTTGAAGGAGGGATTGAACAATTTCCAGATAAGCAAAAGCTGAGAGAATTTAGCTCCCACAAACCATCTCTACAGTGTATTTTGGAGGGACTGCTATAGACAGAAGTGTTCCTAAGGTTAAATAGCTGTCAGCAGAGGTAATAAAAAGGCATAGACAAAGAGTATACAATATGATACATAATAAATAAAGAATGGAGAAGGAAGAAAAGGAGGGGGGAAAAAACCTTTAGACTGTGTTTGTAATAGCATACAAAGTGAGTTAAATTAGACTCAGATTGTAAGGAAGTTACCCTTGAACCTTTGGTAACCACAAATCTAAAGCCTGCAATGGCAATAAGTATATACCTATCAGTAATCACCCTAAATGTAAATGGTCTGAATGCACCAATCAAAAAACATAGAGTCTCACTCAATGGATAAAAAAATAAGACCCAACTGTATGCTGCCTACAAGAGACTCACTTCAAACCCAAAGACATACACAGACTAAAAGTGAAGGGATGGAAAAAGATACTTCGTGCAACTAATAGGAAGAGAAAGGCAGGTGTTGCAGTACTTGTATCAGACAAAATAGGCTTTAAAACACAAAGTCACAAGAGACAAAGAAGGGCATGACATAATATTAAAGGGGTCAATCCAACAAGATGATATAACCATTATAAATACCTATGCACCCAATGCATGAGCACCTACAGAGGACAGATCAACCAGAAAGGAGACAGAGGCACTGAACAACACATTAGAACAGAAGGACCTAGCAGACAGCTACAGAACTCTCCACCCAATAGCAGCAGGATACACATTCTTCTCAAGTGCACATGGAACATTTTCAAGAATAGATCATGTACTAGGCCACAAAAAGAACCTCAGTAAATTGAAAAATATTGAAATTGTACCAACCAACTTCTCAGGCCACAAGGGTATGAAGCTAGAAATAAATTACTCAAAGAAAATGAAAATGAAAAAGCTCACAAACATGTGGAGACTTAACAACATCCTCATAAATAACCGATGGATCAATGACCAAATAAAAACTGATCCAGCAATATATGGAGATGAATGACAACAATAATTCAACATCGCAAAATCTGTGGGACACAGCGAAGGCTGTGCTAAGAGGGAAATATATTGCAATACAGGCCTACCTACTATCAGTTTCATTTATTCTTTTTCTAGCTTCTTTAATTGTGAGTTTAGACTGTTTATTTGAGATTGTTGTTTTCTTGAGGTCGGCCTATATTGCTTTGAACTCCCCTCGTAGTGCTTCTTTTGCAGCATCCTACAGATTCCGGACTGCTGAATGTTTGTTTTCATTTGTCTCCATGTATTGCTTGATTTCTGTTTTAATTTGTTCATTGATCCATTAATTGTTTAGAAGCATGTTGTTTTAGCCTCCATGTGTTTGTAGGCTTTTTTGTTTTCCTTGTGTAATTTATTTCTAGTTTCATACCATTGTGGTCTAGAAGCCATTTAATACAATTTTAATCTTTCTGAAATGATTGTGGCCTAGTATGTGATGTCTTCTGGAGAATGTTCCATGTATACTTGAGAAAAAAGTATCCTGATCCTTTTGGGTGGAATGTTATGTAGATGTGTGTTAAGCCCATCTGATCTAATGTATTGTTCTGTGCCTCTG